TCTGCAACCCCCAGTACCTTTTAGGCCAATGCTAGGCCGCAGCCTGGGGCTTTCCAGGCTGGAGCTCCCCAGCTCCTCTGCCTTTCCCCAGCCCTGCTCCACTCAGGTACTCTGTCTCAGTTCCCTGCAGCCAGGCCCTTCTCTCTCTCTGAGGCAGAGAGAGACTCTTGGCCCCTGGCTCACAGCTTTTTTATATAGGGCCAGCTGAGGCCTGATTGGGGTGTGGCCCAGCTGCAGCTGCTTCCCAATCAGCCCAGCTTAGCAGCTCCCAGCCACAACCTTCCCCCAGGGCTGTTTTAAGCCCTTCAGGGCAGGAGCAGGGTAACCACCCCGCTACAGACCTCCTTCCCCATAAAGCAAACAAGCTACTGGAAAGCTGGCTGACTGGACAGGAACAGCAACTCACATACACTAATTAAGACCAAAGCAAGTAGGATGAAGATGGACATATCCATGGAGGCCTTTTCTCTTTACATTTTGAACGCTATCACCTGCCTTTATCTTCTGCTGTTGTTTGCTGCTAAATCCAATCTTCTTCGCTCAGCAGAGCTGCCCATCTGAGCCCAGCAAGGTGGATGAACCTTCAGTGCTCCATAAACTTCAATCAATAACCATTGATTCACAAGTGTGAGCTGCAATCAATAGGCTTGACTTCAAAGATCCAGGGTTTCATGATTTGCTACTAAAGGGGAGAAGGGGTCCTGCAGAATACCTAAGCAGTGAAACCAAATGGCAGCTACAGGCACCCTCTAAGCCAATAAAGGAAGCACTGGGTTTCTTCAGAAGTTCAGACAGTCATCCTGAAAGGAAAGGCACCTACTATGGGTTGCTGCCTATTTTTTTCCAAATTTCCATATCTGTCTCTCATGCTTGTATCTACCATTTTCATCACACCAGAACAGGTGAATCAATGATGGGTGATCTACCAGCTAAACTGATGGTGTGGTGCAAAGCCTGCTCTCAGTTGCATGTGTAAAGTACATCTGAGAGCAGATTTTAGCCCATTGGGCAAAAGTGAGATCTTTCATCTTCCCTTTCCTTACAATACAGACCCAGTGCACCGTCCACCAGCCATAAGGGACATGTTCCAGTGTCCAGTGCAAATCTTTCTGCCATCACTGTTAGCAAAGCTGAGGATCACAAAGTGTTCTGATCACCAACTCTAAAGGACACAGAGAGGGATTTCCACAATCCATTTCACTAGCAGGGAGCATGCCATGCTGGTTAAGCTCAAGGAAACTCCTCAGGCCAAACCCAGGCTGGCACAAGCAGGCACAAGACTCCTTGACCTCCACGCCTTCGGCAGCCCAAGCAGCCACTCTTACAAACCTTCCCTTCAGCACCTGCTCAGGAGGTAGCTGAGCTGAAGTTACTCCCGTTCACTCAGAACCAGGTCAAGCCCCTGCACCCCATCCCAGGGTACATCTATATTGCAGCCGCAGGTGTGATTTGCAGCTCGTGTAGACGTACCCTTGCTAGCTGTACTCTAGCTAGCCTGGTAAAAACAGAAGTGAGGATATGATGGCAGGGGCTTCTGGATGGGCTGCACAAGTCAATATGTACCCAGGGCAGTCAGGTGGGCTTGTGCAGCCCACAGTGAAGCTCACCCTGCTATGTCCTCACTGCTATTTTTAGCGTGCTAGCTAGAGTACAGCTAGTGCTGGTACATCTACACCAGTTGCAAATGGCTGCAGTGGAGATAGACCCGTAGACAACTCTAGGTACTGTGGAAACTGAAATATGAGGAAGTGCAAGAAAAATATTTCTTCAGATGATCAAGAATCATAAAGGACATCTCACCAAAAAAGTAATAAGGAAAAACTGTGCCTGATATAGGGAGATAGGAGAGACACGGCAGAGATGGCATCACTGTGAAGCAACCTGCCACCAACTGGGGAGAGACCAATGGACAGAGGGGTGCAAACTCCAAACATAGAGCGTGACCCATTCCTGGCTAAGGATCCCCACCCCGACAGACTCTGGAGGGGTCTGACTTAATACTTTAGAACACCTGTGTAGCCTGTCAGGTTGAAAAAGTCTCACTAAATTGAACTGTCTCTTCCCTATAACATTCCCCAAAGACCCAGAAATATTCTGCAATGCCACAAAATACAAAGATACTGCAGGGCATTCTCCGCATTGATGTAACTTAACTACACAGCTCCCTTTAGAAACAGAGTAGCTTCTATGCAGCAACTGAGCTGCCAAAACTCCCAGTGGGAGTAACACCACTAAACATCCAGCTCACCTCCCCATTAGTAATTTATGGATGATCCCTCGCATGCTGTTCCCCATACAGCTAAAAGCTTTGCAAGCAAATTTTGAAGCACAAGCCAGAAGTCAATGTGTGCGGCCCAGCTGAGGGGATCTATGCGGAAGTGCTTACCTTTCAGGAACAAAGAGATAAGATGTCTCTCATATAGGTACATAAACATGATTAGCACAGCTAAACTCCCTATCAAGAGAAAGGTTATAAAGAAGATCAAGTGCCAAATTCTGCTTTTAATTGCATCTCTGCGATCCCACTGACACTAATGGGGTGACTCAGGTGCACTTCAGCGCAGACTCAGCCAGCCACTTTGGGGAATTATGTCATGCCCATTTCATTCTCTCTCTGAGATAATTTGAGGAGAATGCTGCATATAAAGTCAAGTCACAGACTGTTGAGACTATACATTCCAAGCTACGTGTTCATTATAAAATAGCCCCGCACTGCACTTACCATCTGTGCCCAAAATGGTGCAGGAATAACGGTCTGATTGGAGAGGTGGAGTGTACAGGAAGCATCCTTTAGAACCTGGATATTGCCGAAATCTATCTGAGCAGGATCCACGTAGACAACTGGGCCTTCACCAATGCTCACTAAATGAATCTTCTGCTCCAGGAAACCGGGGGAAACAAAAACAGGGAAAGTTGAAAGGGGCCAGCTAGCTCTCATTGTTCTCAATCCTTGGACCCAGAATGGTAGTGAACGACTGGAGTAGACCTGGGATTTTGAGTGATTTTCATGTGAAGAAGATCATCCATTCAGAATGGTTATCTGGTGATAGAGAAAACCACCTCCCTGTTTGCCTTGTTCCACCAAATCAACTGCATTTGTCCTGCAGCTCTCCACTTGTACCTATTCACCTCTCTCTTCTCTTCTCTTTGACCGTTGCCACCCCATCTTACCCCTTCTCAACATTTTCCCATCCTTCCCTCTAACTTCTTCTGCTGTCACACACTCACCACTGGTGTAAATGAGGAATATCTCCATCAGAGTTACACTGGTGTGAGTGTGAATCAGACACTTAGGTTTTAAGCTCTTTGGAGCAGGGTTCATGTCTTACTTGTGTCTGAAGTGCCATGCACATTATGGCGCTGTATAAGTAATGGATATTAATGATGTCATCTGAGCTGTAATTGTCTCTCCTGAATATCTGTGATCCTGACAATATTCTCTACCCTCACATGGATCAGTCCCAAGGGTCATGGAGGGGTGGGGTGGAATGGTGATCCGTTATCCAAGTCACCTTCCCAGAGCATTAAAAGCAGCTAATGGTTTAAATGTTTACACCAGTCTTTTTGCTGTAGGATACAGACTGCACAGGACCAAACAACCTTCCTGTCATGGACCAGGTCATAGGCAGTCAGACCCAGTGGTCAGAGCAGTGGTGATTAGGCCTAGTGGTCAGAGCAGGAGTCAGGAACCAGGGGTCAGTGACAGAGCCAGAGGCAGGAGTTAAGCCAAGGTTCAGAGCCAGCGTCAGTAGCCAGGGGTGGGGCTCAGAAGCAGGAATCTGGAACAAGGCAGGAGGGAAGGGACAAGACAGGACAGGAATGCAAGAATCAGGATTAAGGCAGGGCTCAGGAGTCAGGCGAGAAGGTAGGGTCCAATGTAGCAGCCACCCAGGGATTCACCTAGTTGCTCAGACAAAGTCCTGTGCCTCCTTCCAGCTTAAATAATGAGTCTGAGCCAATTGGAGAGGCCAGACATCACCTCCAATTGAGATCTTCATAGGCAGTGCCTATGGTGAGCTTAGGTCCACCAGCCCTCACTCCCTGCTGGTGGAGGTGTCAGATGATGTCTGTGATCTGATGCTTGTCTAGGGAGCCACAGACCTGAGTTCAATACCTGTGAATCCCTCATACCTACTTCTAAACTGAAATCAAATAAGTAATAATCCCTCCTAGTGACAAGATGCTATGTGACTCATGAAAGGGCAAAGTGTATTATTTAGACACAAAGTTCCAGTCTGTCCTGTAGAGCACCCTGAATGACATCTGACTCAAGAAATGGCATTGGCTGCTCCCAGAGTGACCCACATCTAGTCCCACTCAGCTGGAAAGTCTGCCACCAAAGCCTAGTGTACTCTGCATGGGTTCCTATACTAGCCCCATCAGACTGCCTAAGAGTAACATCCAGCGGCTGCTGGTGGCTCACTCGCCTCCACTGCAGATCTGCAGTGGCTGTTTCCCCCAACATGTTGGAGAAAGCAGGAGCGCAAGAAGGAAACCATTGAGAACTCATTTCCCAGCCCTGGAGACTGGTTTGCTCATTTCCAGCACTTCCTGGAGAGCAGGATTTTGGGGCAGTGTGGAGGAAGAGGATGGGGCTGTCAGCCTGGCTTTCCCTTCTGGAAACGGCAGTACTGTTAGGGAGCTAGTGAAATCCCTTTCTAAAGACATCAGGATCTTTCACACAGATCTTTTTCATACTAGGCCTCATTATGAATGGAACAATAGTTCGTGCAATTGTTAGGAAAACGTGTGTTTGCCTTTCAGGCTCTGAATACGGTTGGGAAGCACTGCTCTGCTCCTGTACTTGCACTTTAATGTTTGGAGAGATACCTTTTTAATCGAGAAGACTGAAGGGAACAAAAAACACATAGGAGAGAGTCCCTGGAGAGTGTGCGTTGATAAACACCTCTCCTGAGAGCATATCTAAGTTTTTAGTGTGCTCTTCCCCAGCAGAGCAATCAAATGTAGCATGTGTTCTTCCAGGACGTTACCCTTTAGTGTTCTGTCATTCATTTTCTACAGAACATCCAGTAAGGAAGACAGGCCACCTAGAATTCCTAGCTGTGTCAAATTGCACTGGACATGTCCATGGTATGTCATTCAGCAGGGAAGTGGTTAATATTTTTTAAAATGCTTCACTTAAACCATTCGCAAAAGTGCTTTTAGCAGCAACATTTAACAGGCCATTGCTCACAAGCCAGATTATATAAAAGGAAAAGGAGGACAAGGGGGAAGACATTGCTATCAGTAATATTTCCATGGGCTCAAAGGTCTTGCTGGCTCTGTTGATGGGGACATAGTGTCAGTTTCAATCATTTGGGAATGAATAGTCGTCCTCTGGCAGTCAGCTGTAGTACTGAATGACCACCTGTTTTGATAGCAGCCAGCTGTAAAATTGCTGCCTGTGGCAGGCTGCAGGCTGATACGCCACAGGTAAACCCCAGCCTGTATTGTACCAGCTCCCTAACACATAGGATTACTTGCAGCAAACTGAAACTGACATCCCATCACTTGCAAGTAAAACACAAGGCAACACAGCCATGAAGGGTCAGCCAGAGAGAAGGATTTGTGAAAGTCTGCACTCTGAGAAGGGCTATAGCCGACTCAAGCTGTTGGGAATTATTAAGCATAACATAAGAACATAAAACAGCCATACTGGGTCAGACCAAAGGTCCATCTAGCCCCGTATCCTGTCCTCCGACAGTGGCCAATGTCAGGTGCCCCAGAGGGAATGAACAGAACAGGTAATTAAGTGATCCATCCCCTGTCGCCCATTCCCAGCTTCTGGCATAATGTAAGATCATAGGACCATGCTCTTCTTTCTGTTTCACTGGCCTAAAATTAGAGTGATTCCACTGAACTCAACAGAGTTACATCAGTGCAAGAGAGAGCAGAATAAGGCCCACACTCCTGAAACCAACCATCAGTAGAGCGCATAGCAGGCTGTTGGCCATACTGCTCACAATGTTCCACTAGTGGGGAAAAGTCTGGGTGGCCAGAATGGGACCTACTAAAGGGGTGTTAAAGCTTCAGGGCACAGCTTGGACAAAATTTAAACCTGAGGCAGCTTTAGCAACAAGACACGTAAGTGGGTACTGTGCTTCTGCATGGCGAGCGTTCTATTAGCACAGCTCAGATGTTTGCTGCAATTGAGTGAAAGCCAAATGCTGTGCATTAAACGCCAACTTAATGGGCGCACTTCTGAGCTTACTGAAGTGCTTAGTTTTCCCTTAGAAATTGTTAAGATCCCACAATTCACAGGGCTCCCATCGGGGTGAGGGCTGACATATTAATTCACATCATTAAAGCCAGGCTAAGGCTGAACGTACACATCATTAATCCAAGGGTAAAATCTTTACAAGATCACCATAGTTTGAAAAATAAACCAACCACTAAAAGGTCAGGAAATTCTAACTGTGAAAAGCTCCCCCCCCCCCCCCCCCACTTCTTTTTGTAATGGGTCTTAACTTTACAAACCACTTATTTGGCTAACTTCAGCCTTGATGGCAAAATTCACCGTCCTCCATTGACAAAGCCCTAGCCATTGGTCTACATTCTAATGCAAAGAAAAGGGCTGGAGACCTAGGTTAAGATTTCCAGTGCAGTCCAGGGGAGATAGCTGCACACCTTCCATTCATTTTAAAGAAAGCCCACACCCTTTGGACTGCTTTGAAAATGTCAGCCTTACTTTTGGTTAATGGCCGCTGAGGCTTTCAGCAGTCCTTTGACACCCTAGTTCATGCTCATCAGTGACGACAAGCAATTCTGTCATCGCTATTTCAAAAGTTAATGCCATTTTAAATTAAAATTTAATTAATTAAACTTGCTTTAGCTCTTAGCTAGATGAATTCAATAAACTACATTTTATCAAGTATCAGAGGGGTAGCCGTGTTAGTCCGGATCTGTAAAAAGCAACAGAGAGTCCTGTGGCACCTTTAAGACTAACAGATGTATTGGAGCATAAGCTTTCGTGGGTGAATACCCACTTCATCAGACCCATGCGTCTGACGAAGTGGGTATTCACCCATGAAAGCTTATGCTCCAATACATCTGTTAGTCTTAAAGGTGCCACAGGACTCTCTGTTGCTTTTTACATTTTATCACTCACCTTTCTACCTTTTTTTTTTTTTTTTTTTTGCTAGAAGGTGGTAAAAAAACCCAGGAAGCCTCTTGGAATTCTGACAAATAACTCTATTTTTAGGGTGTCATGTCATAATTCAGAAACCACTTGCCCATACTTGTTCACATTTGGTAGAAAAAGTCTACCTTCACTCCAGTTGCAGCCTACCAATTTTACGGCTGATATGGCCTTCCTTGTAGATTTTAGTACAGAGGCTACAGTGGCCCATAATGGACTGAATTCAGAAAAGCACTTAACCACATGCATCAGTTGATTCCTGTTCAGGACAGCACTTAAGGAGGTGCTTTTTCTAAGTGTGTGAGAGGACTTAAGCATGTGCTCAAAGTTAAGCATGTGCTTAAGTACTTTCCTGAACAGGGTTGCTTTCTCAAATTGGGGCCTTTATTATGCAGTGGTTATTGTTACTCTGTAAGAATAAAACAGACTTAGGCCTTGGCTACACTGGCGCTGTACAGCGCTGCAACTTGCTGCGCTCAGGGGTGTGAAAACGCCCCCCCGAGCGCAGCGAGTACAGCGCTGTGAAGCGTCAGTGTAATCAGAGCCTGCAGCGCTGCACGCTCGCTCGCAGCACTGCACGCAATTCCCCTCGGAGAGGTGGAGTACATACAGCGCTGCGAGAGCTCTCTTCACTACACAGTGAAGTCCCGAGTGTAGCCAAGGCCTTAGAGACAAAGGAATTGCTATAGTGGCTTAGACCAAGGGTTCATCTACAAAGAGAGGCAGTTCCAGATATTTCAGAGTACTCTCCATAATGGCCAATGGAAACATTTGCCCATAAGGAAAGTTTCCTTTCTATCCCCAGGCAGTTAGTTCTTGGCTTATGCAATGAATCATGAGGGTTTATTCTTTTCTTTTTTATTCTCTCTCATTATTCATATAAACATCTAATCTTTTTGGAATCATACTTAGCTCCTGGTCTCTATGGTTTCTGGTGGCAATGAGTCCTCCAGGTAGTCATGTTAGGTGAAGCACCTAAAGGGGAGTTAGGTGCCTGACTCCCAGTGACTATCCTTAGGTGCTTCCGAAAACCCCAGCCAAGCTATGTAAAAGATTTAAATTTGGGGCCTTTCCATTGCACTGTCCCTTTCGATGTGAACTACAGCAAACGGTCTATAGTAATGCCCAATTTACCGTCTCTGCACCAGTCATTACTTGTATACTCCTCTCACGCCCCTTCAAAAGACACAGGCCTGCAAGGTTCTAAGCTCCCTCTGTTCGCCTTGACTTTATACAGTAGTGAAGGGCACTCAGCACTTTCTGGGATCAGGCCCATATTCTTCTTGCCAACTGAAACAGGTTTGATCTTTCCTGACTCTCCTCGTTATTGGTATGAGCAGTGCAATTAACCTCAAAACATCTGACTTCTATCACAGTGATATTTACTCTCTAATGACATGAGTTTACTACTGCAGCTTTTGAATTCACCAGAAAAATCCTTGGAATTGTAAAGAACTAGACTGTCTGAATACAAGCGTGCAGTGTGCACTGTCAAATGAGCAAAGACCACCCTCAGTACAGGTCTCCACACTCCAGAGAGAACATTGGTGCAGACACAAGGTGTATTTCATCATCAGGGTCTCACCAGGCGGGGGTCTTCACTCCCAAACATGGCTATGGAAGCCACAGTGTCCTGCTGTCCAGTCACTTGGGTTTCCAGTGCTAAGGGGATCTCCACAGTGTTGTGAGGTTGAATAATGCCACAAGGCCTGGGGCTGGAGTACAGCACAGAGGGCTTCTCCTCATACTCCTGTGCAGAGACATAACCAGAACATTATCTTCACTATGACTTCTTTGGAAACTTTGCATTCCTTGACATTTAAAAACATTACAATTATCGCACAGTTAAAAGAATCACGTGCAGAACACTGGGCTCAAAGGGGGAAATTGAGCGTGGTGCAGAGGACTAGCACAAAGCCTGTACTGACCCCTATTTTGAGGACTTTGTGGGATTGAAGTGATGCACAGACAAGCGCCTGCCTTCTGCGCAGGGGGGAATTTCAGCCAGAGATAGACTATAAAATATGCAAAACAGCACAGCTGAAGGCGCACATTTCTAACATGGAGGGTAATTAACCATTGGAACAGCTCACCACAGGATGTGGTAGGTTCTCCATCACTTGCAGTCTTGAAATCAAGACTGGGTCTCTTTCTAAGGGATCTGCTATTGCTCAGTAGAAGTTATAGGCATGAGGCAGGAATTACTGGGTGAAATTCTCTGGCCTGTGTTACAATAGCCCCTTCTGGCCTTCAAATTTCTAAATCTTTCCAGGAACTAGTACAGACATTTACTTGCCCGAGGCATCACCTAAAGGCGATCCAGCCAATCGAACAGATTGAATACCAGGGGCACCTGTTCCAAGCATCTCCAGGTTTCATTAGGAAAGAGTTACTCAAAACAATGAAAGAGAACACAGTGGCTATGTTGGCTGGTGCCCCAGAAAATATGGAACAGTGTCCATGTCTGCCAGATGGAAATAGGAAAAATATGAGGGGAAGGACATTATTTTCAATCACCTATGAGGATATTACAAGCAACAGAGAGTAAGTAAAAATAAAATACAATGGACTACATTTAACGGCATGTAAATGGGGGAGTAAAGTTAGCCAGAAACTAGTATAAACAAGTGTAAGTAGCAAAACTTGCACCAGTTTGGTATTCTGCGGGGTCCAAATTTAGCTCTGGGTAAACAGGTGCCATTTCCATTATACCAGGGCTAAATCTGGTCTCGGAGAATTGCAGAAGGAGTGGCCTAGCTGCTTTAGCTTACACTCTCCTGTGAGGTAGCAAGGAAAGCAACTCTCCCCTTCAGCTCCTTCAGGGTTTGACTCATCCATGTAGGCACAGGAGTTCCATTGCTCTCAGGAGAGATGTCTCCACAAGGGATTCACCCTAGGACAAAGGCAGCTTTAGGTTCCAGCTGGGGCTCACCAATAGAGGCTCCCAGGAATATATGCTGAGTCAGTGTACCTTCCAGGCACTCTGGCCCCAACTCTTCCTTTGCTGGCTCCAGTCCTCATGGGGGATATGGAATTGTGAGGCCCACATGCCCACATGCCCGTGACCTCTCTGTTGCCAGAGACTGCAGCCTGGTTTTTACCAGTAAAGTGAAATGGGCCCCTGGCTTGCAAGATCTGCTTGCTTTGAAAATCTTGTAGATTGGTGCAAGTCGACATTGACAACTGCTTTCTAACCAACTAATGCCTAATGTGTAACTATACCACCATTGAATCTGTCCCAGTGGCTCCCACAGCAGCTGCACCTATTCAGCCCAGCCTACTGCTGACTCATAAACAGAGCTCACAGAAGGCTTTGAATTGTTCCCCTTTCCTGTTGTAGAATGTGTTACACCATGAAATATTAGGAAATGCCACACAGACCACCAGCTATGGACTCAGTCAGTGGCTTTCTTCCCTTTCCTCTTGTGAACTTCAGCCTCTCAGAAAGAAACCCTTGTGGTTATAATGTCTTGTATCTTTCAAAGAATCACTCCTGCTTTCAATGCTGTGGGACCCACCCCTTTAAGAACTTTTAAGTTCTCACTTGCAAGAGAGTTCCAAAGAAGAGAACTTAAACATTCTCACATCAAATGCTGGTGAGGCTAGAGACAACAATAACACAGCATTTAATACTATATGTTATGTGCTAGTCGGGAAATACCCCTTCCATTTTCAGAGAGCCCCATGGAAATGGAAGAGAAGCAGCAGAAAGGGAGGGTGAGATGACAAACCTGAGGGAGAACCCCGTAGCACCCTGGAAGCTCAGCGTCGTTCACAAGCATCACCATCTGCTGGTAAGGGAACTTCAGGAAACACCGTCCAAACTTCACCACAGGGTTAACCACACGCAGTGGAGGAACAACACATCTAGCCCGCCAAAAAACAGCATTACAGATACCAAGAGAATATAGTATTTGTTTACTCCCATAACATATTTGTCATTGTCACATAGAGGCTTTACACCCATACAGTCATTAATCATCTTAAAATTCTTTTTATTCACTTTTTAATCAACAATCTCTGTTAAAGGACATATGGGGAAACTGCCATGGGTCTCTACTCAACAGTGTTCTGTTAACGCCAGCAAGCATTCAAGCAGGGTGCAATTTCTCAGACTGGAACCCTGCTAACATGCTGAGCTTTCTTAGCCTGAACAATATGTACTGGTTGGTTTGTATTTTTTGTGTTTTCTGCGTGGAAGGAATGTGCAGCTAGAGACTTCTGCCAAATCTGTGTTCATGTGAATTAACTTGACACCCCTGCCCTAAAACCCAACTTGGAAAGGGTGATTTTGGGTTTGTATCTGAGCCTCCAGGGAACTTTCTGTCTCTTATCATTCTGCAACACCTACCCATTAACCCAGAATACAAATCTTCCTCCTTTATCTGGATTTGAGAAGCCGTTTAGCTGACAGAAGGAAAACATCTTAATTTACAAACTGGGGCAACTGCTGCCTTCTGCAGGATATATCAGAGAGGAGTCAGGGGGACCACCAGGCTGATGAAAGTCATGTGCATTAGTGTTCCTGTATGATGATCTCCTAATTATCCTACAAAATTGATTCCAGGTGGGATTTTCCAGACTCAGTGTTGGCCTAACCCTGTTCCCACTGAAGTTAATGACAAAGTTCACATTGACTTCAAAGGGAGCAGTGCTAAGCCAGTACCAAGGTCTTTTAAAACTGCCCTCCCCCCAGCTATATATACACAATTATAGATACAGGGCCAAATGCATCCCTTTTGTAACTGCCCTGAAGTCAACCGAGTTACAACAGTCCTACAGGATCTGACCCAGGAAAAATGACCCCTGGCTCAAATCTCTGATGGCAAATAACTAAAACTAGAGGAAAGCAGATGAAGCTGAGCTCATTCTATAAAGCAAATAATAATAATAATAATAATAATAATACTCTTCCCTCGTCACTATCTTTTGTTTATTTCTCCTAGCTAAAATTCAGAATTTTGTCTTAAACTCTTCGGTATTAATCCACATGCTAATTGTTTGAAACTAGCCCCATCATTGCATTGCCATCCATGCCTTGGATGTCTCCATGCCAAATGGATTTTCCACTGCAGGAAGTGAATACACCCCTTTGATTACAACCTGAGTTAAGTACAATACTCAGGATGAAAAGGGATGGCAGTTGGGCTCTTCACACATGAAATCTGTTGCAAACACTGAAAGTCACGGACAATAATAAATACTCTTACTCTTCCCATGTTGAAAAAGGCTCAGGGCCTTTCCCTTATCTTTAGTACAGGTGCTTTTCAGCATGTGTTGTTTACAGTACTTTGTCACAATTTTTAGTTCTAGTGCCCAACTATGCACAATAATCATATTAAACAGTGGTTCTCATTTTAGAAGGGAGGGTAAATCCAGCATATTGTGTATATGGCAGCATAGTGTAGGTGACACAGGGACAAAGGGGGAATGGATGCAAAGGGAGTGTCAATACCTCGCTGTGATTAGGAGTGCCAGCACTTCCTCTCCGATACCATCCACATCCACCACCAATGCCATTTCATATTTCTTCACAGTGTTGGAACATAAGGTCACCTAGTGCAGGAAAAGGGGAACAAATACTTTATTTTCTAATGCAATCCCTCAGAAGGGGTGCTCATTCAACAACCTCTAGTATTCCCTTTGTTGGGCTTTTGGAACTTGGAGATCATTTGCTGGAGAAGGACTCTGTTGAGTAAGGTTGCACTGGTTGTATCAATGGTTCCCAGTTGAGGATCTTTGGACCATCACTGGTCCAGGAAGCCTTATCTGGTGGACCATTAAGGAAGCATTTTGAGACCAAAATTGTAAGGAATTGGAAAGTCTAGGACCAGAGATGGGCTCCAAGATTATTTTTTTAATATAAAGTGATCCATAGAATGGAAAAATGGGGAAATGTGGCTTTAGCAAAGCAACTGATTTTTCTTTCCATAGAATCACAGAAGATTAGCGTTGGAAGAGACCTCAGGAGGTCATCTAGTCCAACCCCCTTCTCAAAGCAGGAACAACCCCAACTAAATCATCCCAGCCAGAGCTTTGTCAAGCTGGGCCTTAAAAACCTCTAAGGATGGAGATTCCACCATCTCCCTAGGTAACCCACCCTCCTAATTAAAGTTTTTCCTAATATCCAACCTAGACCTCCCCCACTGCAACTTGAGACCATTGCTCCTTGTTCTGTCATCTGCCATCACTGAGAAGAGCAGAGCTCTCTCCTCTTTGGAACCCCCCTTCAGGTAATTGAAGGCTGCTATCAAATCCCCCCCACTCTTCTCTTCTGCAGACTAAATAAGCCCAGTTCCCTCAGCCTCTCTTCATAAGTCATGTGCCCCAGCCCCCTAATCATTTTTGTTGCCCTCTGCTGGACTCTCTCCAATTTGTCCACATCCTTCTTGTAGTGGGGGAACCAAAACTGGATGGAATACCCCAGATGTGGCCTCATCAGTGTCTGATAGACAGGAATAATCACTTTCCTCGATCTGCTGGCAATGTTCCTACTAATGGAGCCCAATATGCTATTAGCCTTTTTGGCAACAAGGGCACACTGCTGACTCATATCCAGCTTCTCGTCCACTGTAATCCCCAGGTCCTTTTCTGCAGAACTGCCGCTTAGCCAGTCGGTCCCCAGCCTGTAGCAGTGCATGGGATTCTTCCTTCCTAAGTGCAGGAGTCTGCACCTGTCCTTGTTGAATCTCATCAGATTTCTTTTAGCCCAATTCTCTAATTTGTCTAGGTCACTCTGGACCCTATCCCTACCCTCCAGTGTATGTACCTCTCCTCCCAGCTTAGTGTCATCCACGAACTTGCTGAGGGTGCAATCCATCCCGTCATACAGATCATTAATGAAAATGTTGAACAAAACCGGCCCCAGGACAGACCCCTGGGGCACTCCGCTTGATACCAGCTGCCAACTAGACATCGAGCCGTTGATCACTACCCGTTGAGCCCGACAATCTAGGCCAGCTTTCTATCCACCTTATAGTCCATTCATCCAGTCCATACTTCTTTAACATGCTGGCAAGAATACTGTGGGAGACTGTATCAAAAGCTTTGCTAAAGTCAAGATATATCACATCCACCGCTTTCCCCATATCCACAGAGCCAGTTATCTCATCATAGAAGGGAATCAGGTTGGTCAGGCATGACTTGCCCTTGGTGAATCCATGTCAACTGTTCCTGATCACCTTCCTCTCCTCCAAGTGCTTCAAATGGATTCCTTGAGGAGCTGCTCCATGATTTCGCCAGGGACTGAGGTGAGTTCCCCGGGATCTCCTTGTTCCCTTTTTTAAAGGTGGGCACTATATTTGCCGTTTTTCCAGTCGTATGGGACCTCCCCCAATCGCCACAAGTTTTCAAAGATAATGGCCAATGGCTCTGCAATCACATCAGCCAACTCCCTCAGCACCCTCGGATGCAGTGCATCCGGCCCTATGGACTTGTGCATGTCCAGCTTTTCTAAATAGTCCTTAACCTGTTCTTTCGCCACTGAGGGCTGCTCACCTCCTCCCCATATTGTGCTGCCCAGTGCAGCAGTCTGGGAGCTGACCCTGCCTGTGAAGACCGAGGCAAAAAAAGCATTGAGTATTTCAGCTTTTTCCACATCATCTGTCACTAGGTTGCCTCCTTCATTCAGTAAGGGGCCCACACTGTCCTTGACCCTCTTCTTGTTGCTAACATACCTGTACAAACCCTTCTTGTTACCCTTCACATCCCTTGCTAGCTGCAACTCCAATTGTGCTTTGGCCTTCCTGATTACACCCAGACGCTTGAGCAATATTTTTATATTCCTCCCTAGTCATCTGTCCAAGTTTCCACTTCTTGTAAGGTTCCTTTTTATGTTTAAGCTCACCGAAGATTTCTCTGTTAAGCCAAGCTGGTCGCCTGCCATATTTGCTATTCTTTCTGCACATTGGGATGGTTTGTTCCTGTGCCCTCAATAAGGATTCTTTAAAATACAGCCAGCTCTTCTGGACTCCTTTCCCCTCATATTAGCCTCCCAGGGGCTCCTGCCCTTCAGTTCCCTGAGGGAGTCAATATCTGCTTTTCTGAAGTCCAGGGTCCATATTCTGCTGCTCTCCTTTCTTTCTTTTGTCAGGATCCTGAACTCAACCATCTCATGGTCACTGGTGCCCAGGTTGCCACCCACTTCTACTTCCCCTACCAGTTCTTCCCTCTTTGTGAGCAGCAGGTCAAGAGGAGCACGGCCCCTAGTTGGTTCCTCCAGCACATGAACTTTTTCCCAAGGAGGATCACTTTAAATAACAATGGGCATCCATGATGGCTTAAAAAGCTGCAGTTCTTTTCCTCAGCAAGCTCTACATCTTGGTACGGAGCACTCATGGGGGTCTGAAGCGATGGTCTTCCTAAGTCTGCTGTCATTAAGAATGAAAAGGAGCCAGGAGTCACCCTAGTCATCCTTATGTTTTAGCAAACAGATCATCATCTAGAACCCTCCCATGCTGTGTGCACATCAAGGATGACACGTACTGTTGCCTGTTTTCTCTGATTTATTCTAGCCACGACTCTGTAAAAAGGAGTGTCTCTCTCCTTCGATCTGTCTGGAGATGAGTTCACAGTTGAATAATAAGTTAAAATTCCCAGAGTGCAAAATAGAAAGTTCCACTGTGAAAACAGCTATATTTGTTACATTTCTTACTTTAGACAGCAGAATAACAAAGCCAAAATGCCAAAGACAAAACCTGTCCTGTCCTATGCAGGTGGGTTAGTGGAAGAAGAATGTCCACTCCCACACAGCAGCCATTCTAGCCGACAGCTGTGGGAATGGCTAATGACATCTGCATATGCTCCATGTCACAATGGCCCATGGTCTGCTGGCTCAGGGATGTGATCAGCCCAATGGACTCCTGAGCAAAGGTGCTGCAACGGATGTTACCATATGGAATAAAAATAAAGTGTGCTGCAGCATACATCTCCCATCCTCTCTGAGCATTAAGCCCTCCCCAGGAGCACAGCTCAGGACCTACGGCACAACCAAGCTTGCTGTGATGGGTTGCCCCCGCTTCCAAGGTGCCACCAGATGTACTGGGGTACCACTGAGCCTGCCTGTTCCACCAGCCTGGCCTCTCTCAAGCCTCCTCTAGCACACACACAGGTAAAGACACACCCAGCTGCAGAAAGACACAGACACTGAAATCAGGACTGCATGGGAAGGCTTTCAGCTAAGGAATAGCCCAGTACTCAAGTGCACTCCCGCTCTGGAGAGTAAACCCAAAATTGTATCATCTTGCACTGCACAGAGAACTGTCCAGCGTAAGCTCATGAAATTCACCCTCTCCCTCAATGTGGAGAGAGATGCACAGCTTTTTTGGCCCCCCAGTTATGAATTACACAAACTGGGTTTAAAACAAAAACAAGTTATTTAACTACAAAGGATAGATTTTAAGTGATTATACGTGATAGCAAACAGATCAAAGCAGATTACCTAAGTAAATAAACAAAAACAAAGTTTAACACACTAGGTAGGTAGGATATAAATTAACAAATTCTCACCCTGCGTGATAAACAGGCTGGCAGATTCTTAAGGCACAAGTTGCCTTGGCTTTGCTAAGTTTTCATACACAGGCTAAAGATCCCTCTAGTCTGGGACCATCGCTTCCCACAGTTCAGTCCTTGCCCCTCAGGTGTTTCCCGGTGTATTGTTGCAGGGAGAATGAGGTCCCATCATGATCTCATTGTCCCCCTTTTATATCTTCTTCCCACTTGCTGGAAAGCTCTTTTGCTGTGACCTGGGTCAAACAGTTCCCATTGTGTAGTGCTGTCTCTGAGAGGTTTCTGTTGTACACAGTTCCTGGGGTAATCCTTGTGCTTCCGTGGATTTCCTCAATAAGCCATTAACATTGTTTGGCCTTTTTACTGTTGTACCTGAAAGGCTGCTTGTGGGTGTTTTCAACCACACAACATGTTTCAGTGACACACACACAGCCAAACTTCATAACTTCACATACGATGATAGCACATACAATCCAACGAGATATTAATGTTTAGCAGATTAAGACTTTTAGAATGATACCTCTCAAGACATACTTTGTACAAAACATATTCTAATTACATGACAGTGGTGAATATTGGAGTGACAGGCTGTCACACTTGCCTTTTCTCCTCTTCCCCTTTGTGTGGGTCTGATGATTAACACAAGGATTTTGATCTAAATCTTCATCTGTAGGTTTGCTTACAACAGATGGCCCCTTGGAGTAAAGTTACATTTGGACAATCTCTGAATTGAGATACAAGGCCAAATACTAGCTAAATGTTACCAGGTGCAACTCCATTGACTTCAAATGTATCCACTTACCCAGGCTGAATTTGCTCCATAAGTGAATAGTTTGGTTGCCCTGGGATGTTTGCAAAACCAAGTTAAGAAGTGAGAGACCCCACAGGTTTATCTCCTCCAAACTTCCTCCTTAAAGCAAAAGGAGACAGAGGATTCTGCTCCGTAACCCACACCAGGATCCTTACACAAGTGCAGATCTCTACGCCAGAGATCAGCTTTGCCTAAAACCTCCTTCTCATAAAAAGACCTTGACTTTCAAGCTAATGTTACAGATATGGTGGAAATCCATCCAATAAATCACCTTCAACTGTAGCTAAATATGAAAGTGGACTGTACCATATTTTGGCTATGAGTTGAAATGAAAACCAAACACTACACATTGTCACTAGAATGAGATAATGGCTTTGTTTTGTGTGTTACAGGACAAAATCTCAGTTACAGAAATGGAAAAAATAGTCATTTCCATGATGATATTAGCTCCTTCAATCTGATAGTGAGACTTAAAAGATTCCCTGTAACCCAGTCTCCTGAACACAAATAAATTCATTGTGGCTTTAAAATCCAGGGGCCAAATTTTGCTCTCAGTTATACCAGTGTAAATCCAGAGGCAGTCTACTGACTTGAATAGAATTATTCCAAATTTACAATGGTAACTGAAAGCAAAATTTGGCCCAAGAGCGGCTGGGATCATTAATGGATACCCTAACTTTCACTGTCCCCCCTGGAGATCATTGCATTTAATGTGACTTAGTGAGAGAGTGAATGTGAGAATGAGAAAGAGAGTGAACTATTTTTGCTTATATACTGTAAAGCATTACTTTCTAACTACTACTTTCCATCCTATTTCTTCCTCCTCCCACTTTAAATCAAAGACCAACTGCTCTGAGAAGTTCTCTAAACCCACATCAGGAAACTCATTCATATGTGACTATTGTGGTTGAAATTCATAATCTGGACTTGCAATTTTGGAAACCGAACTGCACCTCTGTGAGTGCCTCCGAAACTGGGGTTATGAAAAGCTCTTGGATTACTCACATTACAATAAACCCAATAGTAACAAAAGCCTTGTTATAGCTTTGCAAACCATCAGACTCTCTTGTTCAACTGTAGTTTAACATATACTGTACCTGGATATCCAGGAGCTCATGAGAGCGAATGGTACCACTTCTGGGTGTTATGGTAAATTCTTTTGGCTTGACACTTCCCTGGGCTCCCTTTCTCCAGGATGTTCTTGTGATGTCCAAGGTCTGAACAGAACTAGTAATACTTGGATCGCCAGGGCCATCCCCAGGGATGCGAAGGTTGAATGTCATGGGGATCAAAGACGTGTTACTGAGGCAACATGATAAGGACTGAGGAAACCCTAGAAAAGAATGTCACTGAATGTGAGTTTATGCATGAATTATCCCTTGATTTCTAGTATGCATATTTCAGAATGATAAAAGCGGTGCTTGGAATTTAGCTCTTTTCAAACTGAATCATAGTTAATTGAGAAGCTAAGCAAGTTATTAATCTTCACTTGGTTTCCTTGTAAATTGATCACACAGATTGATTCCATGGGAATACTAACTTACCATTCTTGATCACCAAATGTCAGAAGATTTTCATTACAGCTTTAGTTAGGAGAAGTCCTCTCTAACTAGCACTGATTGTTATTCATTTTTGAACCTACGTCTAGAGAGAGTGTGATGGGCATATTGGAATAAGACCCAGATTCTGCCACCCTTGCTCATGCTGAACAGCATTTTACTCCATGATTTTCAATACATAAATAAAATACAGCACATGGTACTACTCATTGTGAGACAGGGTGGCAAAAGAATCAGAATGATGAATCCTTTGGGAACTACAGCACCATGGAAAGATCCTTCCACTGCAAGTTTGCTGCTATCTAGGGGCTGGTCTACACCCAGCCGCTAGTTCGGCGGCTGGGGATCGAAGTTCTGGGTTCGACTTATCGCGTCTGGTCTGGACGCAATAAGTCGAACCAGGAAGTGCTCGCCGTCAACTGCGGTACTCCAGCTCGGCGAGAGGAGTACCGCGGAGTCGACGGGGAGCCTGCCTGCCGCGTGTGGACCGGGTCTGAACCGCGGTAAGTTCAAACTAAGGTATGTCGACTTCAGCTACGTTATTCACGTAGCTGAAGTTGCGTACCTAAGTTCGACTTGGGGGGTTAGTGTAGACCAGGCCTAAGACATGGTCCTGTTCTCAGTGGAAAATGGTGAAACTTCAGTCAATTTCACTAAGAGCAGGATGGATCACTAGTGATGAATATGAGCAAAGCTGCTACACTCCTGCTACCTACTAAAAATGCACCGCTACCAAGGCACATCAAAATCTGAAGACTGCTTTTTCTGCTGAGTGGGTTCTAACCAGTAAATGTTGGAAGTTTACCAATCCTGAATCACATTGTCAGGAACTAGTGCTATTGTTGAGGAAATAACTATACAGATTGCATGAGTTTCCATGTGCTTTGTCACAGTTCAAGTCTGAAGGAACTAAGGTTGGTTCTTCTAGTTTTTCCCTGTCAATCAGACACTCATAGGATTACTTCTTTATTATAAATAAAATGAGTTTTACAACTCTTGCACACACACACCAGTTATAAATGCTAACTCAGCCTGATCTTCAGACCTTTGCTAGTCCCATTAATTCAATTGAAGTTCTATTATTTGACTGGATTAAAATCAGTCCGGAAAAAGAGGAAGTGATGTCAGTTGGCAGGGGAAACATTCTCAAGAACTGGCACAAAATCTGATTGCTCCCTCAAACATGGGTGTCGGCCCATCTATTCCCAAATGGTTTGAAATCTGGGAAGAATCTATTAAACTTACTTCTGCTCATGGATTTCCAGATTGAAACTGGAAACACCAGAAACACTCTTTTCCATCTTCATTTGGCCAAGAAATTGCTCCCCTTCCTCTCTGCTACAGATCTCACTACAGTCACCATATGACTTCCTGCTGTAGCACACGTTACTAGGACAACCTTGAAGTCCACTTGGAAGCTGGTTCAAAACACACCTACTCACTTGCTAGGCAAGGCAAGGCAGGCTGGTGAATACGTATAACACCTATACGGTGCATTGGCTGTCAAATTCAGTTCCAGGTGAAATTCAGGGTAATGGCATCTACCGACAGCCCTCTAAATGGTTTAAGCTCCAGCTATCTCACATACTGGCTCTTCTTTACACCCCAATATGACAATTGTACTTGGCAAGAATGTCCTATCACTTCTGTAGTTTACAGGGCATGCATAAGGCAGCAAAAAGGGGGTTAACTCATGAGAGCAGACAGAACTGGTCTACTTGCTCAGTCAGCTAAGCCTGTGGGAGAAATGGCACATCACCCACTCTCCAAAGCATTAGATGCATTCAAGTAAGGGTATGTCTACACTACAAAATTAGGTCGAATTTATAGAAGTAGATTTTTTTGGAAGTGATTTTATACAGTCGATTGTGTGTGTCCCCACTAAGCGTATTAAGTCGGCGGAGTGCGTCCACAGTACCGTGGCTAGCGTCGACTTTTGGAGCGTCGCACTGTGGGTAGCTATCCCACAATTCCTGCAGTCTCCGCCACCCATTGGAATTCTGGGTTGAGCTCCCAATGCCTGATGGGGCAAAAACATTGTCGCAGGTGGTTTTGGGCACATGTCATCAGTCGCCCCTCCCTCCGTGAAAGCAATGGCAGACAATCGTTTCACGCCTTTTTTCCGTGCGGGTGCCATATTGCTTTCAGCAGACGGTGCAGTAGGACTGCTAACCATTGTCATCAAACGACCACTTCCCCTGCCACTCTGCTCTCCTGCTCTGGCCGCAGACAGTGCAATAGGTCAGAAAAACTGGTCTTCCAACCACCGCTTCCGCTGCCACTCTGCTCTCCTGCTCTCCAGGTGGTCTTGCAGGTCCTCTATATGACCGTCGTCATCCGCCGCTTCTGCTGCAACTCTGCTCTCCTGCTCTTGTCTCGCCATACCACAGCAACCGTGCAGCCTGCTCAGCTCAGCTAAGCTAACGGACACCGCTGCTGTTGTGTCCTGGCAGCAGATGGTGCAGTAGGTCTGCAAAACTGGTCTTCCAACCACCACTTCCGCTGCCACTCTGCTCTCCTGCTCTCCTGCAGACGCCATACCACGGCAAGCATGGAGCCTGCTCAGATCACCGCAGCAGCTATGAGCATTGTAAACACCTCGTGCATTATCCTGCAGTATGTGCAAAACCAGAACCTGCAAAAGAAGGCAAGGAGGTGACGGCAGCGCGGTGATGAGAGTATGAGGACATGGACACAGACTTCTCTCAAAGTACGGGCCTCGGCAATTTGGACATCCTGGTGGCAATGGGGCAGGCTCATGCCGTGGAACACCGATTCTGGGCCTGGGAAACAAGCACAGACTGGTGGGACCACATAGTGTTGCAGGTCTGGGATAATTCCCAGTGGCTGCAAAACTTTCGCATGCATAAGGGCACTTTCATGGAACTTTGTGACTTGCTTTCCCCTGCCCTGAAGCGCAAGAATACCAAGATGAGAGCAGCCCTCACAGTTCACAAGCGAGTGGTGATAGGCCTCTGGAAGCTTGCAATGCCAGACAGCTACCGGTCAGTCGGGAATCAATTTGGAGTGGGAAAATCTACGGAGGGGGCTGCTGTGATCCAAGTAGCCAACGCAATCACTGAGCTGCTGCTATCAAGGGTAGTGACTGGGAAATGTGCAGGTCATAGTGGATGGCTTTGCTGCAATGGGATTCCCTAACTGTGGTGGGGCGGAATGCACAGATGGAACGCATATCCCTATCTTGGGACCGGACCACCTTGGCAGCCAGTACATAAACCAAAAGGGGTACTTTTCAATGGTGCTGCAAGCACTGGTGGATCACAAGGGACATTTCACCAACATCAAACTGGGATGGCCGGGAAAGGTACATGACGCTCGCATCTTCAGGAACTCTGGTCTGTTTGAACAGCTGCAGCAAGGAACTTACTTTCCAGACCAGAAAATAACCGTTGGGGATGTTGAAATGCCTATCGTTATCCTTGGGGACCCAGCCTATCCCTTAATGCCATGGCTCATGAAGCCATACACAGGCAGCCTGGACAGTAGTCAGGAGCTGTTCAACTATAGGCTGAGCAAGTGTAGAATGGTGGTAGAATGTGCATTTGGACGTTTAAAAGCGCGCTGGTGCAGTTTATTGACTCGCTTAGACCTCAGCAAAACCAATATTCCCATTGTTATTACTGCTTGCTGTGTGCTCCACAATATCTGTGAGAGTAAGGGGGAGACGTTTATGGTGGGGTGGGAGGTTGAGGCAAATTGCCTGGCCGCTGATTACGCACAGACAGACACCAGGGCGGTTAGAAGAGCACAGAAGCTTTGAAAATCAGTTTCATGACTGGCCAGGCTACGGTGTGACAGTTGTTTGTTTCTCCTTGATGAAAACCTGCCCTCTTGGTTCACTCTACTTCCCTGTAAGCCAACCGAGACCTCCCCCCTTCGATCACCGCTTGCAGAGGCAATAAAGTCATTGTTGTTTCAAATTCATGCATTCTTTATTAATTCGTCACACAAATAGGGGGATAACTGCCAAAGTAGCCCGGGAGGGGTGGGGGAGGAGGGAAGCACCGGGTGGGGTGGGGAAGGAGGGAAGGACAAGGCCACAATGTACTTCAAAACTTATTGAATGCCAGCCTTCTGTTGCTTGGGCAGTCCTGTGGGGTGGAGTGGTTGGGTACCCGGAGGGCCCCTCTCCCCTCACGTTCTTGGGCATCTGGGTGAGGAGGCTATGGAACTTGGGGAGGAGGGCGGTTGGTTACACTGGGGCTGCAGCAGCGGTCTGTGATCCTGCTGCCTTTCCTGCAGCTCAACCATATGCCGGAGCATATCAGTTTGATCCTCCAGTAGCCTCAGCATTGCATCCTGCCTCCTCTCATCACGCTGCCGCCACCTATCATCTTGCTCCCACCACCTCTCTTCTTGCTCCCGCCACCTCTCCTCTCGCATGTCCGTCCTGTCCTTGCGTTCATTTTCTGCTTTCCTGGACTCTGACATTGTCTGCCTCCATGCATTTTGCTGAGCTCTTTCAGTGCGGGAGGACTGCATGAGCTCAGAGAACATTTCATCACGAGTGCGTTTTTTTCGCCTTCTTATCTGTGCTAGCCTCTGGGACGGAGATGATAGGGGGAGCGTTGAAACATTTGCAGCTGCAGGAGGAAAAAAAGGAAGACTAGTATTTAAAAAGACACATTTTAGAGAACAATGGGTAGACTCTTTCACGGAAAACCAAGCTGTTAACATTATATAGCACATGTGCTTTCGGTACAAGGTCGCATTTTGCCCCTTATATTGAGGGCCTGCCGGTTTGGTGTGAGAGATCACACATGCAGGGCCGGGCAACAGAATTCGGCTTGTAGGCAGCCATGGTAAGCCACAGTCTTTCAGCTTCTTCAACCTTCATAACATGTGGGAATGGTTTCAAACAGCAGCGCCCTCCTGTCCCATACCAAGCACCTGTTGGGCTGGCCATTTAAAAGGAGGAGCTGTACTGACCGCGAATGCATCCCAAGTCTAAAGGGCAAATTAATCATTAAACACGCTTGCTTTTATGCCATGCATTATATTTACAAAAGGTACACTCACCAGAGGTGCCTTCTCTGGCTTCATGGTCCGTGAGCCCGCCTTGGGAGGGTTGGGAGGGTATTGGCTCCAGGGTGATAAACAGTTCCTGGTTGTTGGGGAGAATGGTTTCTCCGCTTGGGTGCTGCGCGCTATCCTCATCCTCCTGCACCTCCTCATCTTCCTCGTCCCCAAAATCCTCATCCCTGTTGCATGAGACTCCCCCCTTGCAGGTGTCCACGGACAGTGGTGGGGTAGTGGTAGGGGCCCCCTCTAGAATTGCATGCAGCTCATCATAGAAGCGGCATGTCTGGGGCTCTGACCCGGAGCAACCGTTTGCCTCTTTGTTTTTTTGGTAGGCTTGCCTGAGCTCCTTAATTTTCACGCGGCACTGCTGTGGGTCCCTGTTGTAGCCTCTGTCCATCATGCCCTTGGAGATTTTTTCAAATATTTTGGCATTTCGTCTTTTGGAACAGAGTTCTGATAGCATGGATTCATCTCCCCAAACAGTGATCAGATCCAGTACCTCCCGTTCAGTCCATGCTGGAGCTCTTTTGTGATTCTGGGACTGCATGGTCACCTGTGCTGATGAGCTCGCCATGCTGGCTAAATAGGAAATGAAATTCAAAAGTTCGCGGGGCTTTTGCTGTGTACCTGGCTAGTGCATCTGAGTTGAAAGTGCTGTCCAGAGCGGTCACAATGGAGCACTCTGGGATAGCTCCCAGAGGCCAATACCGTCGAATTGCGTCCACACTACCCCAAATTCGACCCGGCGATGTCGATTTCAGCGCTAATCCCCTCGTCGGGGAAGAGTACAGAAATTGATTTTAAGAGCCCTTTAAGTCGACAAAAATGGCTTCGTCGTGTGGATGGGTGCAGGGTTAAATCGATCTAACGCTGCTAAATTCGACCTAAACTCGTAGTGTAGACCAGGGCTATGAAAAGAAACCACTTGGAGATGCAGATGTCATTTACCCAAGTCCTACAGTGATAAATTCCTGTCTCAGGCCAGCACTATGGAAATCTTCTGTGGAAGTTATTTAGCAAGGAGGTTGGCGATCAGTTTGGAGGATACATGTACATGATCTAGAATTCCAAAACTGGCTGAAGTCGCCAGACAATGGCAATAGTTAATAGTATATTTTAAAAGGAGCAAGGATACGAAAGTCTCTCTCTTACTGCTGACAGAGCCTCATTAATGAAATCAGATTAAAGGAAATGAAACTCACATTACCTAATTGTTTTTGAACCTATTCCTTTTTTCCCCCAATATGAGCTGTCTGGAGTAATTTTATGTTTTTATTCAAAAGGAAACAACAGTAAAAGACAGTATGGTGACGCATGGAAAGGAAGAAAGTGCTCAGAAACGGTAATTAGTTTTCTTAAAGAATCCATGGACAGCATGAAAACACAGACGCACTAGGCAAGAATGATAATGTGCCTTCAATCAATCCACAATTGATTTCACATTTAAACTTTAGATCATCTCTGTGAAAAGGCTTTTGTAAGGCTGAGATGGAGAGTCAGAATCTGCATTTCAATGGAGATGTTCTGAATGCACGGACACAAGAGTATGTCAGCAATGCCATGCTTTCAATGGAGGAGAAACCAGAAGCTAGGACATCAATGCCTACCACAGAGCTACTGAGTGGGCATATTAGCAGGTAGGCAATAGCGAGATGTCCACACAGGATGAATTAACTTCTCACACTAAAGGACAGTGGAAGAAGTAATTTCTTTGCCTTGGATTTCAAATAATTGCCCAGGACAGGTATAGGTTAGTGATATGACTAACTCTCCTCTCTCTGAGATGTACAGAGAACAATTAACTCCACCTTCCCATCCCTTTCTCCTTCTTAGACCAGACCATTTCTAGCCACGCTACTGTCAAGGTCTACGTTAAAAAAACAACAACACTGGTGGATACTGTATAATATTGATACTAGCTACACTGGTTGCTTCCTCCTATTTGACATCTCCACATGAGAAATGAAATACAAAGAGCTCATATCACTACTTACCATCAAACTATGACTTTGGACATTCTATGGTGCATAATATAATGTGATGTAACCTGAGAACTCCTAATTTTCTCTCACCATTCAAAAACTTTAAGAGGTGTTAAACTCCTGCTCCTTTTAGATGGTGCTGAACGTATCCCATCATTCTTGATAAAGTCCAATACATTCTAGTTTCTTTTCAAGAACTTTGTCTCATTAATGTGCATGTGTTTGTGACTAAGAGCTGCCCAAATGCAGGGTGGGAAATTTGGGTCCTTCCAGATGCAATTATCGGGATTGTCTCCCAGGTACCTTGATCCATCAGCAAAGAGCTCTCCAATGCTTGTTTTGCAATGTGGAATACTTCCATTATGTATTAATCTTACAAATCAGCTGACTCTACGAAACAAAGCTTGGTTCAGTACCCCAAAGCCTTATGCAAAGGATCTCATGCAGTGGATGCTCTTGCATGAAAATGTTTCATTTTAATATTGCAGTAGACCTCACCTACAACTGGCAACTAAGAACAATATACTCACCAAAGGAGACATCGCCAAAATTTAGGGATGGTACGTTGAAATGAAACGTTGGTCCAATGACACAGCCCCTGGGAGGAAAAGGACACAGAAGGAGGAAGTGTCATCCTGGTTAGCAAGAAAAAGTCCATAGCTTTTAGCTGCTGCTACAGTTAGCAGTGCAACTAGGGGAATGTTGGTCTTAAATTCACCAGTGTCAAATCAATACACCTCCCACCTGTGCTTAGCAAGGCGTCAGTGTGGAAACTAGGCAGCTTATGTGAAGTGATGAATAAATGGAAACTGAGGAAGGCTGACTCTATTTAGTCCTATTTATCAATCTGACTGGTCAAATCAAACTCTTTCTGCGAGGGAGGGAAGTTGGGATCAAGTGAAATGATTTGAAAGTCAGGTTTCCAACTCCACCCTTGGCAAGGACCTGGAGTATAACAGTTTCACTTGTATATGCCCTTTTCTCAATGCACTGCAAGTGCCAGACACCCTAAAACTCAATCCAGTGATGCTACAGTAGCCAGGGTTCCAGACCATAGCTTCACTGGCTTGATGTTCTTCAAAATACCAGCAATGTTTCTGAGCTGTAATAGGTGTTCTTCTGATGGATAAGGTTTGTCTTTCATTTGATGAATATTGGCCCAAGCAACCAATGAACTTGCAGGATTCTGAGGCATGGATCCAGGGAGCTCAAGACACCTGTCAGCATCCCAAATGCAAGTGAGATAGCACTAAAGAACGTGGTTGCTGTACTGGAGTTGTGGCTAATGGAGAAATATGCCAATTAGCCACATCCACACTGGTTGACAATTAAAACAATGACCAATGCGTATCTGAATTAAGCTGCCAGCAATCTGAACTGCTCTGATGCCAGTTCACTTTCTTACTTCTCCCCTCCCTCTCACTCATCCCCTTCTTTCATCCCCCACCCCCACAGCCAGGACATTTGCAGACTCCATTGAAACTAGTGACTGGAACTGCACAATGCTAAACAGGTATTTCATGTGTGCTACCTTGCTGGTGCAAAGAACTGAGATCTCTGCCTTTCTGGACTGAATAAAGGGACCGCAGTCATAGAATCATAGAATCATAGACTATCAGGGTTGGAAGGGACCCCAGGAGGTCATCTAGTCCAACCCCCTGCTCAAAGGAGGACCAATTCCCAACTAAATCATCCCAGCCAGGGCTTTGTCAAGCCGGGCCTTAAAAACCTCCAAAGAAGGAGACTCCACCACCTCCCTAGGTAACGCATTCCAGTGCTTCACCACCCTCCTAGTGGAAAAGTTTCCTAATATCCAACCTAGACCTCCCCCACTGCAACTTGAGACCATTGCTCCTTGTTCTGTCATCTGCCACCACTGAGAACAGCCGAGCTCCATCCTCTTTGGAACCCCCCCTCAGGTAGTTGAAAGCAGCTATCAAATCCCCCCCTCATTCTTCTCTTCTGGAGACTAAACAATCCCAGTTCCCTCAGCCTCTCCTCATAAGTCATGTGCTCCAGACCCCTAATCATTTTTGTTGCCCTCCGCTGGACTCTTTCCAATATTTCCACATCCTTCTTGTAGTGTGGGGCCCAAAACTGGACACAGTATTCCAGATGAGGCCTCACCAATGTCGAATAAAGGGGAACGATCACGTTCCTCGATCTGCTGGCAATGCCCCTACTTATACAGCCCAAAATGCCGTTAGCCTTCTTGGCAACAAGAGCACACTGTTGACTCATATCCAGCTTCTCGTCCACTGTGACCCCTAGGTCCTTTTCTGCAGAACTGCTACCCAGCCATTCGGTCCCTAGTCTGTAGCAGTGCATGGGATTCTTCCGTCCTAAGTGCAAGACTCTGCACTTGTCCTTGTTGAACCTCATCAGGTTTTTTTTGGCCCAATCCTCTATTTTGTCTAGGTCCCTCTGTATCAGATCCCTACCCACAGTCCTTGCACTGTGCCTTCATAGTTTGTTCTCAGGATTGTGCCTGCAGCCAGGCTGTGTTTGCTGCCATTATAAGAGGGTGATCAGGTGGTTTCCAATGTCTTGCTGGAGGGAATTTATATTCATTGTGTGTGCAGTGCACATGATTCCCCCTTTTTTCGACACCAGTGTCCCTTCTGATACCAACTTCACCCTTCTATTGAGCTGGAGCAGATGTCCAGGAACTTGCAGGTTGGCTTCCCAGTAGAGGAGAAATTAGTGACTTGGGGATTGGGTACATTCTGACTGTAATTTGTTCAGTCCTGGAACACAAGCAGTCAATCCCCTCTTTCAGGAATCTCGGCCCAGAAACAATGTTCACAGGAAGCAGTTCTGCCTTAAGAATGGACTCTAGTCAGAGCCCATGGCAGACAGCAAACTCTCCTGCTGCTTGCACAGCTCCCTTTGCAAGGAGCACTGCCTCTACACAGAATCTTCCATAACGAAAACTAAAACCACTGCACATGCTCCCAATATTGAACATTTGCTCACAGGCCAAGAAAAAGAACTGGGAAGACTGTATAACAGCATTACCTGGTGACTCTTGCCGTAACACAGAGGAAAGCTACCCCTAAAATGCCTCTGGTTGTGGATTCTACCAGGAAGTCACCAAAGACCAAGCTTGCCATGCAAGGGGGGGAAATTACTTTTCTTTGGGCTCAGCCATTTGCATCTCTGCTTAAATGAGTTAAACCCTGCTTGTCTACCCAGAAGTTCTGGGCATGGTGCCATCTCAGAGCTCTGTGCCAACAGCTGATAACAGGGCAGCTCACACATAACAAGAGAAAGGACAGCAGGTTTTGAAACAGTGATCTCTTAAAGAATCACAGAGCAAGAGCAGTTGATGCTTGGTGATGCAAAGTAATGCGCATTGGAAAACATAATCCCATATTATACATATAAAATGATTGGGTCTAAATTAGCTGTTACCACTCAAGAAAGAGATCTTGGAGTCATTGTGGGTAGTTCTCTGAAATCATCCACTCAATGTGCAGCGGCAGTCATAAAAGTGAACAGAATGTTGGGAATCATTAAGAAAGGGATAGATAATAAGACAGAAAATATCATATTGCCTCTATATAAATCCATGGGACGCCCACACCTTGAATATGGTGTGCAGATGTGGTCGTTCCATCTCAAAAAAAGATATATTAGAATTGGAAAAAGTACAGAAAAGGGCAACAAAAATGGTTAGGGGTATGGAACGGCTTCCATATGAAGAGAGATTAATAAGACTGGGACTTTTCAGGTGGAAAAGAGAAGACTAAAGGGGGGATATGCTAGAGGTCTATAAAATCATGACTGGTGTGGAGAAAGTAACTAAGGCCTGGTCTACACTACGACTTTAATTCGGATTTAGCTGCGTTAATCCGAATTAATCCTTAACCCGTCCACACAACGGAGCCAGTTACTTCGAATTAAAGGGCACTTAAAATCGATTTCTGTACTCCACCCCGACGAGCGGAGTAGCACCAAAATCGATTTTGTTAATTCGAATTAGGGGTAGTGTGGCCGCACACCACCGAATTAATGTGGTTAAAATTAATGGGGTAGTGTGGCCGCACACCACCGAATTAATGTGGTTAAAAACCGAATTAATGTGCTTAGTGTGGCCGCGCACAATCGAATTTATACAATCTGTTTCCCAAATTCGAATTATCTAAATTCGAATTAATCTCGTAGTGTAGACGTACCCTAAGGAAGTGTTATTTACTCCTTCTCATGACACAAGAGCTAGGGGTCACCAAATAAAATTAATAGGTAGCAGGTTTAAAACAAACAAAAGGAAGTATTTCTTCACACAATGCACAGGCAACCTGTGGAACTCCTTGCCAGAGGATGTTGTGAAGGCCAAGACCATAACAGGGTTCAAAAAAAGAACTGGATAAGTTCATGGAGGATGGGTCCATCAATGATGGCTATTAGCCAGGATGGGCAGGGATGGTGTCCCTAGCCTCTGTTTGCCAGAAGCTGGGAATGAGTGACAGGGGATGGATCACTGGATGATTACCTGTTCTGTTCATTCCCTCTGGGGCACATGGCACTGGTCACTGTCAGAAGACAGGATACTGGGCTAGATGGACCTTTGGTCTGTCCCAGTGTGGTCGATCTTATGTTCTCACCAGAGGAGAGGATAAGAGAGGAGAGGGGCAAAGACCCAGCCATTGACTGGGGCAGCCTGGTGCTCTCTTATTTCATTTGGGGGGTGAAGGAACTCACCAATACTTTGGGAAAGAAGGCACCAACACAACATTGTATCAGAACTACTGCTTGCTTAGAAGGGTTATGAGCAGCTGTTATGAATGATGCTAACAGTTGAAAGGCCTTTGGCTAGGCACCCACCAGAACTGGCTGCTGGAGCAGCACAGAGGAATGAGTGCGAGGGCACAGGTGCTTATGTAGCCAGTTACCAGAGGTATTTTCAAAAGCTGTACGCTTGATTGGCAGAGCGCACAGGGGCTGAGCAGATTTCTGCCCCTTATGTGGTTTAAATATTATAATGTAAAATTTGCATATGTAAATAGTGATTTTGCAGCTAAACTGGCATTTTTTAAATTGTGCCAGCTGATATGGGTGCCAGCTGCTGATTGGTTGTCTGCATCTACTCCTAATAGTGAGTCTGCAGTGACAAGGTAATCTGGCCAAATTCAGAAGCCAGGCCAGTTTTCATCAGAAGGAAGTCAGACTACTAAGCAGCACAGGCAATGAAAGATGTCCCGGCTTCCTTGGGATGATAGCTCTGGTGGTGGAGGGCCACCTAGTAGGAGAGACATGGATGGAGGTGCTGGGTGGGATTTCTGAGAGTCTCCCTTGATCCTTAATTAGCCAGGAACATCCATGCAGGAGCAGCCCCTTGAGCCACAGCCAGCCAGGAGATGTGAGGCTCTCCAGAGATATGCACCATCTAGCTCTGGAGGGATGATGGTCCTTGTGGAGGATGAGGGAGAGGACACAGGGGTGAGGGATGAGTCATCTGAGCCCTCATCCCAGCCTACATGACCTCCATCACCACATACCTTATCCCGCAGGATCCCCCAGCCAGGGCACCTCCACCCAAAAGAGAACTGGGAGTGTTTCTTCACGTAGAACCAACACCTGGAGTATAGCAGCAGC